CTCTCCAACTTGTAATTCCAAAGAAATTAATAAAAGATGTAGCTTAACATTTAAACTTAGAGCAGACTGTCTTTGAAACAAACTATGTTAACAATAACTGCCACCACAGTCAAATAGATCAACCACATCACCCTTTATGGTTCTAAGGTAATGAGCACAATTTGTCATAAATTTTCCAGTAACTCTGAAAAACTGAACAAAAGACTTTTTTTCATACACTTTATAAAAATAGGATAAAGGCTAGAGTTGTCTTCTTTGAAACCTAAGAGTCTAACACAGTATCGGCAATGAAAATGTCATTAAGTTATGGAAATGATAAAAAACAAACAACCAAGTACTCCACCATACAGGTGCTTATTATGTGCTAAGTAATAAGTATTTAAAATTTACATAAATAGACGGAATTATATCAACTTTTCTATATAATAAACTGAATTATTACTTAAGAATCTCCAATTTAATAGAATGCAGATGATTTCTGTAATTGTATAATTTTTAGCTTTTATGAATTAGAATATACAGAAATATAAGTATGTTCTTTGAACAAATAACACAAAAACATGTATACTACATTTGATCTTAATATAACTCATGAGCAGTTGCTTTAAAAATAGCTAGAAATTTGAAGATGAAGGTGAAAAAAAGGAGTGAAAAATAAATGTTCTTCCACTTCAAAACTGTCTGATGACAGAGCCAGAAGAGACTTTCTGCATCTATCAGTGACTTCCTCTTCATGTATCATAGAAAGAGTCAACATGCTTTACAAATCCTATACATTTTAAGACATTTCCAATAATCTGCTATCATAAATCAAAGATCCATTTATTCAAGGTTACTTATGGAGAATTATCACACAGAATTTAACAATCCTTTTTCAAAAATTAAAGTATTACTATACTTGCATTCCTATAATAATGATGTGGATTCAAACATGAAAGCATTAAGGCCATATAATTAAATGCATGGGCTTGACATTTAAAAAGTTTAATATGTAGAATTCTCTGTAACAAATATTCCAGAAAAATTAATCAGAATATAACACAATGTAATCTCCATTAGATTCTCAATGCTTAAGTGGCATTATGTAACATAGAAAGCTGTCCAAAACACATTACATTGTACTCTGTATAGCTCAAAAATATGTATCAAAGAATCTGAAAAAGTGAGACTAAAAGATCATGGACTATGCATCAGGAAAAAACTCTAATTTCTTTGGAGATGACTTTCGAAACCTTTTATCTTCTAATTTGGAGGCAAATTTATCAAAAAGAAAAATAAACAGGTCATCTACACACATTTACAGCCTTTATTGGAGAGGGTATAACCATTATGCCCAAAATTATCACCAAACCCAAACACTATATTTCCCATCTAAATTAACGGAATATTGTTATTTTAAATGGGACACAGAGGCTTGCCAAGAGATTAAAGTACAGCCGTAAAGGTGTTTAATTTCTACTTCAAATATCAAAAAAGCAACATTCCTAAAATCATGAAAACATGAAGTAATCTACACGGGAAAAAAATGGACACTGAAGTGTTTCATTCTTAATATCATACAGTAACAAAGTTACTTATACCTCAGCCTACAGATAGATTACCTTTCGATAAGGTCATATTCATTTAAATTAGTACATGTTAACAAGAAATTTTCACTTAAATTTCACAGTGCTTATAAAATGTTACTTGCAAGATTGATTTACATAAGGAATAAGAGTCTTGTCAAAAGATATGATAAACTATAAATATACAAATACATCACGGATGTTAAAAACCTCATAGTCTCTATCAAGAAAATTCAATAAAGATTAACAATTTGGGGGGAGTATTAGCGTTTAAATTTAAAGTATAATTTAACATGAATTTGATAAGAATACATTAAACCCTCGCATTGCCACATAATCCTCGTATCTTGTGAAGCAGGTAAGATGTTGACTTTTAATTATATGTACATCAAAACCAAAAAGTTATTTATTTTTCTTTCGTTATTGACTTTCAATGCATTTTCGGTTTTGGTTCCAGAGGTTTTACAAATCGTGCAGCTGCACCTTTCGAGCTGCCAGCCTTTTTCTTATTCTGTCTTTCTTGTACTGCTTCATGTATACTCTGATTCTTTCCTTAAAGATAAAAGAAAGTAATAGATGTTTACTAAGCTAGTTCACCACACACATTTATTATACTATACTCTGTTAAATATACACAGGTATTATAGCATTTATTGCCTTAGGTGCATGTCTAGTAAAGTGTAACGTGCATAGGACACAAGTGCTCTGTTGCTTTTGGAGCTTCACAAGTCTGGGGGGCAGAGGGCTGGATGGTGGAGAGAGACATTTAAAAAGTCATTTCAGAAGTGTTTGAGTATTCCAAGAAAGAATGTACTAATATATCGAGACTAAAGAGATAAATATTGAGTCGTTTCCATGTGGTGTATATTATTTTTTACTTTAGGCATACCTTGTACTCTACATATTACTCATTTTTTATAATCTGAGTCTAAATCTGAGCTACTCTTACCACTTGAACATACCAAACTAATTCTCCTAAATTTTTCTAACAGGAAATATTAATAGTTGAGTAGCATTCAACCTATTCTATTTATGTTACTGCCAGTGTCACAATTAAAAGACAAATGAACAATCCACAGGATCTATTTATTCAATTTGTATCTGTTGATAATGAAGAAATTTTCTAAATAAGCTATAGCTATTACAGTTCTTAATTCAACTTTTACAAGGTGAGATAGCTATATGTGTTGCCATACACTTTGATTTCTGAGGACCATTAATCAGCAAATGCGTATTCCTATACTTCAAATGGAGATAATGAAGTTGATGAGAGCCATAAATAGCAAGAGTAAATGACTGATAGTCTGCTTAAAACAAGTTCTATGAAATAATCAAAATAGTCTACATAACTGACATCACAGAAATATAATGTAGAAACTAGAGGTTTTCATTCAAAGACGGCAACTGCTTGACACTCTCTAATGGGCTCCGGTTTTCTGTTCAGAGTAAAAGCATAGCCCTGTTACACACAGTGGATGACCCTCCGCAGCACTGCTTCAGGCTTTGCACTACGTATCCTCTGCCTGGAAGGATCTTCCCTAATTATCAATCAGAGCTACTCTCCTCTTCTTCTAGTCTGCTCAAATGTAAACCATTGTCAATGAGGCCTGACTTCACATTATAAAATGCAATCGCTACCCAAGCATCCATGCTCCCCTTATCTGGTCTACTTTTTCCTTCTTATTAACTTATATTTTAATATTTACTAATTACTATTTACATTTTTATTTTATTTTCTCATTCATTTAATTACAGTCTGTGTCTGCCACAATGGCAGGATCAGCTTCCTCACTGAGAATCATCTCCCTGGTTTGGAAGATCATGCCAGGCCCTATAGGCACCAAATATTTGGTTGAATGAATAAGGTAACTATCTTTCATGCCTTTCCCATCTGTGGAGATATATGCAAAGATACTCTATCACACATCACTAGTGAGTCATTGTGGTATGTTTGCTCACTAACGTCAAAAAGCGGATAGGGTTGTAATGGTGTTTTATTTGCAATCCCTGTGCCCAGATATATTAATGTGCTCCTCCCATAAAGTGGTTCGAGTGAGAAAGAAGATAAATGATCTTATCCCTTTCACAAAGACAGTACAGAGTACATCTAAAACTTTGTGTTAAGGAAAAAACGAGTAACTTGTTAACACGTAAAAGCCAATTTGAAAGTGAAAACGATGATACAGACCGATTACTTCTTAAGGTTTAGAAGCCAGTATCACGCTAAACCAAGCTATCTGATCATCAATTTATTTACCATTGCTTCTAAATTATTTCGACCTAAGATTTGCTATATTAAAAATAAATTTGATTTTCCCTTCAATAACTTTAAAAGAAGAAAATGCTTAGTCACACATTTATAAAAAGAAGATACAATCAACAGAATACTAGACATTTATATCAAATTTTTTTAAAAAAATGACCAAGTATTTACTCAGTTGTAATAAACCCAAATACCTATCAACAAACATAAGACTGAGACAAGGATATAATTCAAGGTGTATTCATATATTAATCTTACCTCATATTTTATAAAACACAAGAATAAGATTAACTAGTCCTAAATCTTTTATTCATAACAGCCATAGTCAAAATTAAGTAACCTAAGTTTGAAAATTTCTCTCCATTTTTTCTCTTCAATATTGTCAAATGATTTGACTATTATTTGTTGAAGTCAGCAAAACTCCAGGAAGTACTAGACTTCAGATATACTACTGACATAAGTACTTATATATATTAAATGGAATTACTAAGAAACATAGAAGATTTTATATTTTCGAGTTGAATATAGATATTGATCTGGATAACAATGCAGAAGTAGACTAGGAGACTAACTACACCTCCGGTGCCAAAAAGCTTCTTTTTGTTAAGCTGCGCATCGAACTGGATTCTTTAACTGGCACTTGAGAGGCAAAATGAAAGATTAATAGAAATGAAGGAATTGGTGGGGGAGACTTGTCCGTTTTGTAGTAATCAACTAAAGATAAATGTAAAGAATTGTGTAAGAGTTAAAAAAAATAATAAAAGCATGCTACTTAGGAAGTTACAGGACTCAATATGAAGCCAGATATTCTACATACATTATAGGGAAAACAATGATTAACGTTAATTGATAGTCTTAAATTACCTAAGAAATACGGATAACATTTTTCTCAATCAGAGATTTATATAAAGTATGAATACATTCTCAGATGGCAAAAAGGTAACAAGTAAGAGAGAAGAAAAACCAAAGAAGACAAATAAGTCTGGCTCACTTTCATAATGTTTCAACTTAGTATCATTGTTCTCCATAACTATGGTGAGTGATTAAAGGATCAGGCTGGTTTTGAACTCCTGACCTTGAGCAATCCGCCCGCCTCGGCCTCCCAAGAGCTAGGATTACAGGCGTGAGCCACAGCGCCCGGCCTGAACCCTTCTTGATTTATTTCTTGTTGGCAACATTATCATTGCTTTTGATGTATGTATGATATGGATCAGTGAACCTTATGTTATTTGACTCTTAATGGAAATAAGTTTGGGAAAATAGGTAAGTTCCCCCTGCCTCACCCCTGATAAAGTATGTAGCCACCAGAGGCCCCATGTTCACTTTCCTTTAATAGTACTCAAGATATTACAGTAGTATTTATAGGTACTGAGACCTGGGCCCCCAATCTGAAACCATAGCTGAAAACCTTCCTGGGCTTGGACTCTGGCCATCCATATCTGCTACAAACCAAGAAAAAGGGGAGAGAAATAATTCTTATTATTTTCACCATTCCCTCTTTTGGGAGCATTTTTGTGTGTGTGTGTGGGGGGAGGGAAGAGGGGAAACTTTGTTATTGTCCCAGTGCAAAATAGATTTGTGCCAGTACCAGATAGATTAATGTAAGATGTATTTAGTTTCTTTTCTAAAAACTATGTGAAGTCACTATGCTCAAAGAGTCTAATTTGCTATTTCTAGTAGTCCAGAGTAAATAATCACTTATAATTTCCCCCTTACGGCTGTTTTCTAAGTTTTCTTAAGTATTTGTCACATGATTTTATACTTGTATTAGATATCTATTATGGGAAATTATAAATATAATGAAACAAAATTCATTTTGAAACTCAATGGTGATAATAACTACAGGGTAAAGCCAAATACAATTTGTATATGTCTTTACAGACTATAGAGATCTATCTGTCAAGTTGCAGAATTTATTTTGTTCCAGGTTTATTATTCTTTGGTTATTTTAAATTTCATTGAATGTGATGATCTAGACTTAAATCATGATTCCTAAAATATGCCTTCAGGTTAGTACCTGTCAAATATTTTTTTTGGTATGAATTGTAAAATATCAGAAAGAACATCACAACACAGTTTCAACTTCTTGGTTCTGTCAATGACTGTTTGACTTTGAACAAACCACTGAAACTATGCACATGCTCACCTATAAATTGGGCACGCCTGTTTTCCTTCATTGACTACACAAATGCAAATGAAAAGGAGCCAAGGTATTAGAAGAACATGCTATCTAAAATGTTATCTTGGTAGTACTAAAATTAAGATGATATTTTATGTTAAAACTGGGTAAATGTGATGGAAAGTTTCTCTTCTAATTTGTTCCTTATTTTCTTTGTCCCAAATAAGATTTCTGAGTTAATAGTTGAAGAGGTCATTTCAGGAAGTTATTCTCAGACCTTGCACTCGTAAGGTTCTTAAGGTTCTGAAACCTGACCATGGAGTCCTGTCATTCTGCTTGGACAGCTAAGGTTTTGCTAGGTTGTTGGAGACAATGGTCCAATCCTTGAAAGAGTCAGGTGGTGAAAGATTTCTAACAGAAGCAAGGGAATTTATTTTATATGAGAAAGTGTCCACCCTTCTCTAGTTCATTTGAAGAAAGAAGCCCACATCACAAGAATAAATTTCTATTTTTGTAACTAATGGAAATTGTTTCTCTTGACTCCAGAGCAGCATCTAGAGCAGTGGCTGTCAGCTCTGGCTCCATCTGAGCATGACTCCTGGAGCTTAAAAAAAAAATTCCCCATGGCCAGGCCCGGTCCCAGACTGACAAATCAGACTTGCTGGGATGGGGCCCAGGCATCAGCATATGTTATTGTGCATCCAAGGTTGAGAACCTCTGATCTAGAGAGCACAGTACAGAGCAACTTGGCCAAAGGCTTAGACAACAGAACAGTCTTCAGCATCCATTAATTTGTTCTTGCCTTTATTATCTTATTTTTCCAAAAGGGTACCTGTAATCTGAAAACAAACAAAAAAGACACTAACAACTATATGCTCAAAATCTTGTCAGCTAACCACGGTCCCCCTGGGACAATCCTAGCTTTGCTGCACCACTGTGAGGGTCCCTTCCTCCCTTCTTCCTCCTTCCTTCCTCCCTCCCTCCCTCCTTCCCTCTTTCCCTCCCTTCTTCCTACCTTCCTTCCTTCCTACAGATCTTCCCTCCTTCCTTCCCTCCTAGTATTCCATTAAAAGAAACATATAAATGATCATAAGATTCATCTGAGCCATCTCAGATATTGCTGAATTTCTTAGACATAGACACAAAATGATAATGATTGTTTTCCCAACTTGAACATGAGCATCCTTGAAAATTATAGGTCTTAAGAAATTGGTGACTTCTCCATTCAGTCTGAAATGATAAAAAAGGGAAAAGAAATCATGCCTCAAAATATTTAAATAATTAAATAAATCATTCATATGTATACACACAAGCAAAACTACATTCACGAGATATCAGTTATAGAATCAAAGCACTCAATTTCATTTTGCGCTACAATAAAGATTGATCTGGGAGATAGAAATGGATTCTGGTTTGAGTTGGCCTTGGCTGGCTGAGACCTTAAACATTTCTTTTACTTTCACTCAACTTCAGTTTCCTCACTTTTAAAAGTGCATCTGTGGCTCTGGCAAGGCAGACACCTAATCTGCCATGTCTGTGATCCTTATCTACTTCTCAAATCAACCCTGCTATAGAGGCAAGTTCCAATTAGGTATAGATTTGCTTTAGAAATATTCCAACCACAGGTCATAATTTTTGCTGGGTGAGTAGAAAAGAATGTTGATGTCATTTACTATCAATTGCATTTGTCCCCTTTTATGAGGAAGATAATGCAGACATTGGATTAAATTTCCAGGCTGTCTTAGAAAGACACATTACATAGAGAACTGGGAAATATTCTTTTCACTGATTATGTTACAGACAGTAATGTTTAACATGGCACATAAATCAGCAAAGTAAATGAGCAAGCGTCTGATATATTTTAAAAAGGAGCCTAGTAATATATGTTTGACACATACTTGGTGTTCAACAAATGTTTATTAAATGGTGGATGGATTTTAACGATTAGAAAGCAATTTCTCAGTCTCAAATGCTAATCTGAAGAGGTTTCAAAGATCAAACATTTTTGGTCATAAAGTATGTTTTTGATTTAAATTAAGTTTCCTCAAAAAACTAAAAATAGAACTACCACATGACTCAGAAATCCCACTGCTGGCTATATATCCAAAGGAGGGGAATTCAGTATATCAAAAAGATAACTGCACTCCCATGTTTACTGCAGCACTATTTACAATAGCCAAGATATGGAATCAACCTAAGTGTCCATCAACAGTTGAATAAAGAAATTGTACATATACACAATGGAATATTATATAGCTACAAAAAGAATGAAATCCTGCCATTTGAAACAACATGGATGGAACTGGAGAACATTAAGTGAAATAAGCCCAGCACAGAAAAAAACAATCTTGGATGTCCTCACTCATTTGTGGGAGCCAAAAGTTAAAAGCAATTGGTCTCATGGAGACAGAGAGTAGAATGATGGCTACCAGAGGCTAGGATGGGTAGCTGAGGGGGAGTGGTTAAAATGGGAATGGTTAATGGGTGCAAAAATATAGTTAGATAACTAGATGGAATGAACAATATTTGATAGCACACCAAAGTGATTATAATCAACAATAAGGTAGGGTATACTTTAAAATAACTTAAAAAGTAGAATTAGAATGTTGCTAACACAAAGAAATGTTAAATGCCTGAGGTGATGGATACCTTGATTACTCTGATTTGATTAATTTATACTGTATGCCTGTATCAAAACATCACATGTACCTTATAAAGACATACAACTATTATGTACCCATAAAAATTAAAAATAAAAAATTATAAAAAAATTAATATGAAAAAAGAGGTTAAAAAAAGAGGTAAAGAGTATTCGATGGCTGATAAGACAATGTCCCTGGTTATGTTGCATATAAATCCACACACAGCAGACTTTGGAATATGAGGTCTCAATAAATGGGTGGGATAGCTTTGATGCTATCCAACATTGAAATCAGTTAGTTTTCCTGTAATATTCTTGTCTCTGCTTGAGTTATTGTTAATACTTTTAAAATTGAAATGGGATAATACTTTTTACATCTATCTATAAATTTTTAAATTTTGTGGACAGGTGACCCAAAGCCAGGTGTGAATGATCTCCGCCTTTGCTTCCTCATCCTGTTGCATCCAGGAGCTTGCCTATAGTTACTAGGAATATCACCAAGAAGACCCTGCAGTTTGGAGCTTTATGGCATATGAGGTGACAGATCTACAAGGACCGTGCCACTAACACCACAGGGTGGGCAACTTCTATTTCATGGTGAGTGAAATGTGATTTGGAACCACTTTGTTCCTAGTTTTAAATTAGACAGCTTAACATATCAAGAGAAATATTTAATCCTGTCTTTTAATTTTGCTTTTGCATTTCCCTCTGGTATTTCCAGTTATAAATGTTTTATTCTTGCCACTCATATAATAAATACTCCTCGTAAATATTCAAACATGAGAGAAATACAATTTAGAAAATGAATGCACCCCGACAGCCCATTGTAGCATATGTTGTTGGTGCCCTACTCTGTGGCCACTCACTCTTATTCGTTCTGTGAGCACCAGCCTGACTTGCAACCACCAGCCCCTGAGCTCCTTTGCAGGCGGGCTTTGCTGGAGATCCCTGGAGATCCCACTCCACCTGTGTTTGGGCCAGCTGCACATGCAGGGAACTGGCATCCCTGGGGATAAGCCCTTAGCCCATGACTGACAGGATGTGTGAGTAAATCCCTCAGCTCCCTTTGCATCCTGGTTGGGATAAATGAAGGTAATATTCTACTCTCTCTCCTGGCATTCCCTGGTAGGATCAAGCTCCAACTTGATCCTACTTGACTACAGCTGTAACTTGCTTGATAACACACCTTCAATGACTTCCTTCCTGCCCCAGTCTCCTTTCTCCACTTTCCTACTGAGATTTCCAGAGATACTCTCCCAAATGAACTACTACTTATACTTGTTCCTTGTCTCAGGGGCTACCTCTGAGGAGACCTAAGATAGCCATCATCCAAGGATGACACTATAGTTTTAAATTCTCATTCCTTTCACATGGATATGAGGAAATAACGCTGTTCTATGGGCTTTCTTGAGTGCAATTAGGATGGACAATTAACCTAGGTCCTGCTCATTATTTAGGAAATGAGTCTTCAGGAGTAGAGTTGTCCATTCCCTCTGGGCAGCCATTTATCACAGTTTCATCAACTTGGCATTACTGACATTTGGAACATTTGTCATGGGGTGTCTTTGCATTGTAGGATATTTAGCAGCATCACTGGTTTCTACCCACTAGATGCCAAGAGCATCCCCTACCTCATGTCTCCAGACCTTGTCAAATGTCCATGGTAGCTAAAGTTGCCACTGATTGAAAACCACTAACAGATCTAGTGAATGTGGATCTACTGTGGCAAGTTTATTTAGGTTATTAAAGGCTTTCTGATCACCCAACAGGAAGAAAAAGACAGACCGATGACGACTTCATAAGAATCTCTGGGACTACCCTCTTGCATTTAAAACCATCTCCTTCCAATAAAATAAAGAATACAAGGTCTATATTAGAAGAATTCTTATATAGCAATGAGGATTGTGAAAGAAGCTAACAATATCTTTAGAGAAGATGGCAGCCGGCTGGGATCTGGAAGTAACTTGGTAAGTTGCCATTGAATTCCTTACAGTGGAGAGTGGATGATGGAGTTCTTCAATAAGAGGAACTTATTGAAGACCTGGGTCTTGGATGGAACAATCCAAGCTGTGAATTGAGCAGAGGGCCTTCTGCCATAATTATGCCTTTACCCTTAAGGCTATATATTCAGATATTCCTGGGAAAAGATTGAAACAAACCACTGTTAGGCATGGCAGTGACAACAGCAGCCTAGTCTCTTATAAGGAACCAGTAAAGAGTAAATGCTTGGAAGATGTTTGGGGTACCACTGGGTATTGCCTGGTGTTCTTCAGGGAAATGGTATTGACCAGGAGGGACCAAATACACTGGCACCCCTGAGCGGACAGGGGTGGGGCCAAAGATCAGGGAATGCAAGGAATAGCAGATATTCCCTGGAGGTCACCTCCAATATACAGGTGGATAAAGAGCATTTGATGTTTTCACCTGCTGTGCTTCCAGGAGTTCAGCACTGTGGGAAACTCGATCCCAGATGCAGACAGGAAGCTAAGACTTCTTTGCAAAAACAAGAGTCAATCAAATAATTTCCTAGGGCAATGTAAGGGTGAGAATTGGACAAATGTTTGATGAACTTTGTTCTTATACCAGGTGTCAGAGATAAGTCTGTCCAATGCCTGGCAAAATGCTGGGGAAAAGAGATAGATTATTGTCTAGTTGATAGTTTATAACTCCTACCCTGTCCTCAGTTCTAGTTCTTGAAGGCCTGACCATGCCTTCTTATACACCTGGGAATATTTTCCAAACTTATCTGAGCTGTTCCTTTACTTACCTAAACTATAGGGAGATGTCACCTCCACTTTTCAAAGTAGCTCTACCTTTTGCTGCACTGAAAACTGCAGTGGCTGGTCCCCAATTTGGAATCTCTGGAAGGCATGAGTGCTACTGTAACTTTACTCTTTTATAAAATTACTGGGATGTCATAGGAAATAAGGTGCTGTATCCTCTGTTTCACTGTCTACATCAGCTGTCCTCAAAGCACAGTTGCAAAACCAGCATCATTGCCATCACCTGGAGACTTGTTAGACATGCAAATGTCAGGCCCCAGCCCAGACCTACTGAATCAGAACCTCTGGAGATATCGCCCAGCAATTTGTGGTTTAACAAACTCTCCAGGCGATTCTGGTTTATAGTCAAGTTGAGACCCACTGGCCCATTTTACTGGAGAAAAGACAAAATGAGAATACTTCAGCCTCTAGTCACAGGCTTCTGCTTGGTTTCTCGCACCCAGGGAGAGTGCAAGAACCTTGTCTTTACCTTGTCTTTACCTTGTTTTTACCTTGTTTCCAAGGAGGCCCTGACACCAAGCCCTAAAGGAAGATTGCCTCTCTCCGTAACTCAGATCTCTGTGTAGCACCTGGGACGTAGACACTGGCAATGAGGGTTTCTGGGAGCAGAGAGCAAGACCTGGATGCTTCTAAGTAAAAGACGACGAACTTCCTTGTTGGAGGCTTTTGCACAGGCCTTGATTGCCCCTTCCTCTCCTTAGACATTATCTCCACCTGGTGAACCCACTCGCTCCTCAGGACTTGCTCAGGTACCACGCCCCGGACTCTGCTCTAGGAAGGCAGTTCTCTCTCACCTTTCCAGACTATTCTCTCTCATCCTGAGGCTGCTTGGATTCACTCTAAGCAGGCTAAGGCCCCTGATCTGTCCCTTAAAAACTGAATGGGAATTGCTTCACACACATGCACGTTGTTTCCCTGCTTCTCTGATGAGCTCAGCACCTTTAAGAGCAAGGACAACACCGGAACCCCTGTGTATTGTGACTCAGTGACTCTAACGCAGAATTCTGAAAAGAAAGGCCCAACTGGGTAGCTCTTTCAGCTGCGGAAATGTGGAGTGTGTGTGTGGGGGGTGGTGGTGGTGGTGGCGATGCTTGCTATTGGCAGAGAGGAACGCTGCTACTTTGGATATATCTGTGTTTGCATTGACATTTCATGTTTGGAAAACCTCACAGCTTGGTGTGTTGATCCAATAAAATCATCAAGGGAGTGAAATAAAAATACCCAGAAGTTGGCGGGCAGGAGAGCCAACTGTGTGAAAAGCACCAGAGAACCCTGCTTGTCACACAAAGCATTACTAGAAGGAAAAATGCAGGCAAGGGAAGAAGTCCGGCAGGCAATAGGGTGAGGGCAGCCGCTCTGACTTGGCTGTCGGGTCTGCAATGACAGGCTTTTATCCCACCGTAGCCGATTGACACGGAACCTATTAACAAATTAAGAAGGGCTCATTCCTTGAAATAGTTTGGACATTCTATGAAATTTTGCTACTAGGTTGTTGGAAAGACTCTATGTTGTCAGGTTGGCTTGGAAGCCAGGAAATGAGTTGGCACTCTTCAAAGTTAATAAAACATCATTTGTCACAGGGTTTGCAGGTGCGGCTCGGTACCTGAATTAAAATATACAAGAAAAGCCCAGGGCTGAGGAGCCAGCCCTTTGCCAAGCCTAATGAGTCTACTGTAACTGGCATGCTCTGAGCAGTGTTTCTTCTTGCGTGTGCTATCTAGATCGGAAATGTTTTGTTTGTGGCAGGGTCTAGCCTGCTGCCCTCCCCTCCATGTAGGCTACTCTTACTACTAGGCAGGAAGGACCCTCTGTTGTCTTCCTGGAGCTGGCTAGAGATTACTCTCCAGAGGTGCTTTGGTGTCTCCTGACTTTTGTTTTAGAGAAGAAGGGAATTTTGTTGATTTCGTGTATTTGTTCGTTTGGATGGACGCGTGGCAGTGGTGGTGGCCGCAGTGGCCAAAACTCAATCCTTTTTCTAGATGAAGTGGGTTCCAGAGGTGCCTGGGAATGTCAAGGCAGAGTCTGCCTGGTGTTTGGGATCTCACCTGCCAAAGCATGAGCCGTTTATGGGATCTGTCCCGCGGGGAGCCAGGGCTGGCAAATACCCCGGGAGGAGGGGCTCCCACTGCAGTGTACCTCCCCTGGCCTTTCCCTATGTCTGAAATTCTGTTTAAAGATGACAAAGGGTTCATACTTCAGATAGAACAGTGTTTTCAACCTTTTTGGTCTCTGGACCCCTTTGCAAGTTATTGAGGACTCGGAAGAGATTTTAAGTTGGCTGTATGTATTGATGATTATCAGGTAAGACAGGGCTCAGCCTGCTATGGCCCATGGGCCAAATCTGGACTACTTCCTTTTACAGGTAAATAAAGTTTTATTGGAACACAGCCAAGCCATTCATTTCCATATTGTCTATGGCTGCTTTCATGGTACAATGACACAGTTGATTAGTTGTAACAGAGGCTGTGAAGCCTCAAATATTTATCTGTCCTTTGCATAGTAGTTTGTCAATTCTTGATATAAAGGATAAGATGAGAAATGTTAAAGATATTTATTAATTCATTAAAATTATCAATAACAAAACTAGTGTAAGATAACAGATTACTTTTTTAATTGAAAAAATGTCAATACTTTCCAAAATAAAACAAAAAAACACTTAGAGTGGCATTGCTCTACACCAGGCGACCTCAAACTATGGCTCATGGGCCACATGCTGCCCGCCTAGGACATTTATCCAGCCTACCAGGTGTTTTTGCCGCTGCTGCCTGCCCTGCTTAGCAGCAGACTCGCCCCAGGCCCACAGTGCACACTCTCCAAAGGTCTGAGGGACAGTGAACTGGGCCTCTGTTTAAAAAGTTTGAGGACCCCTGCTACACTTTGTAAATGTCACTGATGTCTGGCTTAACAGAAGCAGTTGGATTGCCATATCTTCCTCTACATTCAATCTGTTGCCGTAGGTTGCTTTGTTTGAAGGAAGGGAAGAAAATCTAGCCCCCCACGGGTATGTAGGTAGGAAAGGGCAGAGCATTTTAACAGTAGATATTCTGATACAACAAATCTTGACAAGTGGCCTTTTCTAGGAGGTTGCATGTAAAATCTGAAACTACAGCAATGAAAACTTCATACTCTGTTACACTAAAACCCACTGGTGTAACTTGTACTTTGCATGTATCTTATACCCATGTAAGATTTTTATAACATCATGCATTCATTATTTTGAAAACAATGGTTCACTGAATTATACAGATCTTCCAAATGTTGACATATTTCATTTTGTATCATATCAAAATACCACATTTGTTAATATTACCACCCAGCCCATTAAGAGTCTTTAAGTTGTCAAACTCATGATCCAAAATTCTAATTTTTGCTTGAAAGCTCAAATTTTATAATTGGCATCAAATTATTCAGCTATTTTCTTTGTAGAGATAGGCTCATTTCATTCATTTTTGAGAAAATATCTGCCAAATACCCAAGTCTGAATAACCATGGTCTGTCAGCCATGTAAAATGTCCCATTCCAAAAAGAGGTGGTTCAGCTCACAACTCAAAGAATGGCACCAGAGGATTTCCTAGAGGCCACTGTCACGTTTCAGTGTGCAGTAGAAGTGCTTGATGTGCACTTCCCATTTAGTCACCCAGCATATTAAAAAATATGTGCATTCAAAGATAGTGACTTCATGAAATTCATACTTTTTATTGCTTCATCAAGGCCATTCTTAAGTAAAACTGGCTTTTTTCCCCCTTGCAAATATGCTGTGGTGCAGAATAGAATGGCCACTAGAGCAGTGTGGTGGCCCTGCCTTGGTATCTGCGCAGGCACCAGCAGTTTCCGCCTCCTTGCATTTGCACCATCAGTGTGAGTGTCAAACAGTAAAGAAGACAATGTCTCACTGCAGTTGTGAAAATAGTTTTGATTTTGTGGATCCCTGAAAGTGTGTCTTTCAGGACACACTTTGAGTGGACCACACTTTGAGAACCACTGAGGTAGAGAAAAGGAGGGGAACAAATACAATGCAATTCCACCGGTTCTAAATGTTGCGGCTGGAGTAAAGTGTTCTACAATTAAGTCATGTTGGGGAAATGCGATATACTGTATAGGAGTGATGCTGTTGGAACTTTCTAGTGCTCATTAGATTTTAGAGCTCTGAGAAGTGTCCTAGAAAATAAACTTTAACTTTGGGTTTTCTAAACCCATTTGAGCAAAACATCCCTTTTTCAATATATGTGAGTACACTCTGGGGTACCATTATCTTTACAGTGTGAACACAATTCTCGGTGTTTCCTGAAAGCAGGCTTTGGTGGGCCGGGAAGCGGTGTGGCGAAAGGAGCCAGAGAACAGGGGGAACCTGGGACCCTTGGAGACCAACCCCTGGCCTGATGCCATTCCTGGGTTGTCTTCTCACTCCCTTCTGGGCTGTGTTCCTGACAAAAAAACCAGTAAGAGCCGCAGGGAGAGAATGCTAGCAGCTCTAATCCTCCTGCCTCACTCAGGAGAGCTACTTCTTGTAGAGAGTGCCAGTAGACCTACAAAACTGCATTTTCCACACTGCTGAATGGATTTTGCAAAGCAGAGCTAGGCAGAAAAGGCATCCTAGTCTGCACTGGATGGGGCAGGTATGCCGAGAGGCCCTCAGCAGCAAGGGGCTTCTCTTCCAGACCTTCTGTTTGTCTATGGAGCCTCACCAGCCTGGGGCACTTGTGAGAATGCAGCACACTCCTCCTTTAGATTATGCCGGGCTGGCCCCGGGAGCCCACAGCACTCTCACTGTCCTCAGTGGAGTTACATTTTTGGAGCTTGTTCACCAGGCACACCTCATTCCCATCCTGCTAAGTACCTCCCGCCCCCCACACTTTGGGCTCTGGAGGAAGAATCTTCTCCAAGGCATGGGAGACAGGACAAGGGTCGGGACTGTTATCTAAGAACTAGGTGAGGGGAAATAAGAGCCTCGGAGTGGGAGTTGGTGAGCTGGTCTCAGGACCGTGAATTTCCCCTGGTGGAAATGAATGGGGGTTTGCCTAGATCATGGGGTGGGGGGTGGGGCCATAGGGCTCTGGCTTTCCACCCTCTTCAGTTAGAGCACCCCTGCTTCTACCTGTTCTATAATTTGAATTTTGGCATAAGACTTAACTTGAACCCCAAATTTTACTGCTTAGATAAATACACCAACAATTGCTAAGTGATATCCTCTAACATTTCTCCCTTCTCTAGATTTATTCCACATGCCTATGTAGTCTCAACTTCCTGATGCTTTCCGGCGTTTTCACATGTTTTTTGTGCATTTGGCCTTTTGTCCAAACTCAGTGACAAACTTTTACAAGGCACAGAGCTTCCATATACTTTGATTTTCATCAAAATGTCTAGCATGAAATTTTTTTAAAAAATTAAGACTAAGTGCTAAAAGAAAAATGTTTAGCATGGTTGCTGTGCCTACAAGGCCTTCAGTAACTATTGATGGGGTATTGTTTCGGTGCCCTGAGAAGGCGTCTGAGGCCCCGTGGCTTGGTTATCTCCGAAAACTGGTCAGTGAGTACACACAGAGTATAACAAAAATAACACTGAGATGGGCAGGAGACTGGTTCTAGATTCTGCTCGCCACTCACTTGCCCTGGCCCTGGGACTGCTCACACAGACTTAGACATAGCGTGTCCTTGGTTTTTTTTTCCTTTTTTTGAGACAGGGTCTCACTTTGTTGTCCAGGCTAGAGTGAGTGCCGTGGCGTCAGCCTAGCTCACAGCAACCTCAAACTCCTGGGCTCAAGCGATTCCTCCTGCCTCGCCTCCCGAGTAGCTGGAATATAGGCCATGCACCACCATGCCTGGCTAATTATATTATAATATATATATATGATACTATATACAACACACACCATATATATATATGTAGTTGGCCAATTAATTTCTTTCTACTTATAGTAGAGACGGAGTCTCGCTCTTGCTCAGGCTGGTTTCGAACTCCTGACCTCGAGCAATTCACCCGCCTGGGCCTGCCAGAGTGCTAGGATTACAGGCGTGAGCCACTGCACCCGGTCCTGTCCTTGTTTTTATTTGCAGTGAAATAAAGGACTTGTTTGAAAGCCGTGCTTCCCCAATGTGGGTCATGGAGAACAGTAGGGTTATTGTAGTGCATCCTGACTGTCCACCAGGCCGCAGGCTGAACACATAGCATCTTGCACACACACAATTATTTTTCACAATAATTTGAAACAATCTTTCAAATTATTTTAGAAGTGGCTGTGACTTACAAAATGCAGGTTCATTTTAAAGTGTCACTGAATTCCTAGTGGCTACTGGCAACAAACGTGATGAATACTCATGTCTATTAGATGCTTACTAGGTGTGAATTACAGTAAGTGCCTGTCTCAGGTTGGATTTCCAGACGTCGGGAAGAGGATTTGTAGGCAGGGGATTCGTGTAGGATTTTGTCCAGGGAATTGGAAGAGGCAGGGCAGGGGAGGAGAAGAAACCAAGCAAGGGTGTGATTTCAGGTGAATCCCAGTCTCAGCCTGATCGAATGGGGTGCTCTGGAGTGGTAAGTGTTGTCGAGTGTGTCCTCACTCATGGCCAAGGCACTGGGCTTTCTTATTCCTGCCCAGACAGTTGCTGGCTTGGGGGCTGCCCTGGCAGGCTGGTGGTGGTACTGGGGGGTGGGACATAGGCTCCCAGGTATTTATGGCTTATTGTGCTCAATACAGAGCAGCTCGGGTAGCTTTCATACAGCTCTGTGATGAGAGTTACAGGCTTTTAGAAGAAGATGAAAAACAAAAACCACCCTCCCATACATAGTAGCCGGGGGATGGGTGTATAGAGACCATAAAAAGCTCCAGGGCTTTGGTGAAGGGGTGACCACCTGCCACAGTGCCTTAGCTCACCCAAGCCTTACAACAACTGTAGGAGGCATATGTTGTTCTCTCTATTTTATAGACAAGGAAACGGAGGCACAGAGAGGTTAACAAACTTGCCTGTGGTCACATGGCTGGTAAGCTGCAGACCCAAGGTTCAAACAAGAAGCCCAGCTTTTGCCACCAGAACACATATTACTCACTGCCTCTTGAAACACAACAGCTATCTTGTGTAATCAATAAGAGTCTGGGAACGAGTGGACAAGCCTGGAGGTCCTGCGTGGTGGTCTCACATTCAATGACATCGTCATCTCTTGCCAGTGTTGTGCTCTGATTTCAAAGCAATTTCAAGGGCAATTAGATTTCAGTTTTTTTCAGTCTTTATAATTATTCTGACTTAAGCAATTTTAATCAAAATCAAAAGATCCAAAAGTACTTTGTTAATAGCTAAGAAAACAATGGCCAAAGGTGAAAGATATTTGAAGAGCTACAAGGTTCTTGGGTTGGCAGAATAATTGAGAGTTGGCTATTTGGGTGGGAAACAATGTAATTTGGGTTTCTAATCTAGAAAAAAATTGCTTAATTGGCAACACATGCTTCCCGATTGCAACAGGAGAACAGAGGGTGGCTTTCCAGTGGGGAACACATGGGAGTGGTATCAAATGGCAGATTCCTAAACATGGCAGAAGGGTTCCTTCTATTCAGTTTTAAATTCTTGTCACTAATTCTCTTGTCCCCTCCGTGATCCTGCGTTCTGAGAACAGTGACACAAGGCTCCCATCACGGGCTGCTTTGAGAGTCCCAGGGACCGACAGAGCTACACCATGTTTAGTACAGCAAATGCTTGAGGGCATGGAGTGGGGGCTGGGGAGGTGTCAATCAGGGACAGTATCCTTCCCCTCCCCAAAGGATTTCGAGGATGTCGAGGGGAATCTTTTGTTGTCACCATGAATAGGTTGTCACAAGATGAGTGTATAAGGGGGCTCCTGAGGTCTGGTTTGCAGAGGACCAGAGATGCTGAATACCCTGCAGTGCTTGGACAGTTCTGATCGAGGAGGAAGTCTTACCCTAAGTGTTAATGACACTGACATGGAGAAACTCTGGGAGGAGAAGTGATCTGAGAAAGGTACTCATCTTCACGTAGGAGACACGATGCCCTCTGAAAGGACTTACACTTATTCCATGTCCCTCCAGAAAACCATGTGTGAAGTTAGAGGGAGGCAGGACATCTTAAACAGTTAAGGCTGCTCAGAGTGGAGTTGGGCAAGTCTTTGGTAGTAAGCTCCCTGTTACTGGAGGTAATAAAGTAGAGGCCAGTTGACCATGTGTTAGGGAGAATTGTTGAAGAGCTATCCAGGAGGAGAGGATGGACAGATCTCTGAGAGTCTATCACCAGGATTCCAGGGTTCTTCCTACTGTTTATTATCAGAATTCCAGGTGAGGTTTGTGATGAAAAGAATTAAAACTGAAAATCGACTGGGCATGGTGGCTTACGCTTGTAATCTTAGCACTTTGGGAGGCCGAGGCTGGAGGATTGCTCGAGGTTAGGAGTTCGAGTCCAGCATGAGCAAAAATGAGACCCTGTGTCTACTACAAATAGAAAAATTAGCTGAGCATGGTAGCTCGTACCTGTAGTGAATCAGCTACTTGGGAGGCTGAGGCAGGAGGATCGCTTGAGCCCAGGAGTATGAGGTTGCAGTGAGCTGTGATGATGCCACTGCACTGGGGTGACAGAGGGAGACTCTGTCTCCAAAAGAAAACAAAAAAACCCCTCAAAAAACCCACTGAAAATCATGCAGCGAGATCCAGTCTGAGAGACATAGAAGTTGAACTGGAAGAACATGAGTCCGGTATTAAGAGATGAAAGAGAAACTGTGTTGTATTGGTGAGAACTCTGGGTTAGGAGTCAAGCAGCCCTGATTTCTGTCTCTACTACTCTGTCACTGGCTAGTGTGATCCTGGGCTCTGCATGTTTTCTTTGATCCATCAGGTGAGAGCACCTCACTGTTCGATGCTCAGAATCTACAGTTCTATGGTTTGGCAGTAGACCATGTTCTTTGCCATAATTCCACTGTGGCCTTAGATAAGTACCTTAATTTATTATTGTTTCTCCAATATGTGAAATAAAAAATAATATCTATAGTATTCACTTTTTCTAATTCACAAGGAAATAGGCAGGATCAAGAAAAGCTTGAATGCTACCTTCAAAGTAGAAAGTATAATAAAGTAAAAATACCTTCAAAGTGGAAAGTATAATAAAGTAAGTGACACATTCTGAGATTTGTCTCAAATCTCAACCTTCAAATTCGACTGGTGGTCATAAATGGGTCTCAGCTGTTTGGACCTTTCACAGGTCCTAGATACCCCTATTTTTAGAGCTCGATATCCTATCATATCAAACATATTAAAATATTCTTATATCCCCCATTTACTAAAATTTATACCAAATGATATAAGCTATTTATCCTGATAATGTTTTATAAGCATTAAACTAGGTAGTAATATTGAATTTTACATTTTGGAGATAATAACTTTTTTTTTTAAGATCTCATACATTTTTGGTAGAACCTTTAAAAACTCATAGATACTAGTCACTATAACTATTGAGGCCTGGAGAATGTCTTTAAGGAAACAACATCAGGTTCAAACTAAGATTTATTAATCATTGGTAGACAGAAAAAAATTCTGTTCTCACTGTCTCCCTCTGTGTGCCAACAAGCCAGCCCTTTTAGGTCAAGATGGAAATAGGGCGGGGAAGGCGGGCAGCAGGAGGCCATGGGAAATGACCAAGTGACTGGAGCTCATTTGTGGGTGTCTATGAAGAGTGGCGAGTGTGTGTGTGTGTGTGTGTGTGTGTGTGTGTGTGTGCGTGCATGCTCATGTGTGTGGCAGGAGCATGACTGGTGAGAATGCTGAGGGGTAGAGGGACATGAGAGAAAGGACACCATAGGGTCAATAGTAGGGTATCATGGGTAGAGTTCTGAGAAGCCCCCCAAGATACCCAGCCCCTGGCATATGCTCCCTGGATAATCCTCTCTACTTGAGTGCAAGGGACTCATTAATTTGATGGAATTTCACTATAGTGGTTAGATTAGGCTACGTTATCTGACAAAAAAATTTTGGAGATTTTAATTAAGGTGTTCAATCAGTTGACTTTGAGTTAATCACAAGTGAGATGTCCTCAGAGGGCCTGACTCCCTGACTCCCTTTATAAGGAGGTCCAGAGGTCAGAGATGGAATAAGTTGAAGACATTCTCCTGTTGACCTTCATCCCGGGCTGAATGTGTGTGCCCCCAAAGTTCACGTGTTGAAGCCTAACCCCAAAGGTGGTGGTATTTGGAGATGGATCCTCTGGGAGGTAATTAGGGTTAGATGAGGTCATGAGGATGGGGCCCTCCCTCATAATGAAATTAATGCCCTTATAAGAAGAGACACCCGAGAACTAGTGCTTGTGCATGCTCACTTGGGTTCTCTCTCCCCGCTCCCATGCTCACACAAAGAAGAGCTCCTGTGAGCACAAAGCTCACACGAAGATGGTCACCGCCTGCAACCCAAGGGGAGAGCCCTCACCAGAGACCAGCCTTGCTGGCACCCTAATCTTGGACTTCTGTCATGTAAGTCATTGAATCTATGGTATTTTTTTGTGGTAGCCTAAGCCAGCTAATACAGCCCTGAAGAAGCAAACTGTCGCATTGTCAGAGAACCATATGGCAGGAATAGCAGGGGCCTTTAGAACCTGGGGCCTCCATTCTACAGCTTTGAGGATCTGAATTCTGCCAACTACCAGGGAGCTTGGAAGGGGACCTGAAGTTCCAGGTGAAAATGCAGGCTGATGAGACCCTGGGCAGAGAACACAGCTAAGTGATGCCCAGACTTCATGGAAACTGTGAGATAATAAATGGGTGTTGTTTTAAGACACTAAGTTTGTGGTCCTTTGTTACATAGTACAGAAAAGTAATACATAGAGCTTTTTGGAGGTCTGCCTTTGCTTAGACACAAAACAAGATTTGAGAGTAGAGTAACCAGTTATTCCTCACTTTCTTTCTTAGTGTTACTCAACTGAATTGCTGCACCTGTGTGATTCACATGATGCTACTATCAGGAAAAGAAAGGAGATTCTTGGCATTTCTATGATGAAGCACTTTGCAAGTTTCTATGGGCTCAATGTTTGTGTCCTCATAAAATTCATATGTTGAAATCCTAACTCCCAAGGTGCTAGTATGAGGAGGTGGGGCCTTTGGAAGATGATTAGGTCTTAGGGAAGAGCCCTCAGGAGTGGACTTAGTGCTCTTCTAAAAAAGGCCCAAGAGAGACCCCTGTTCCTTTCTACCACGTGAGGATCCTGGAAGAAGGCACTGACTATGAACCAGGAAGTGGGTCCTCATCAGACACCAAATCTGCCATAGCCTTGATCTTGGACTTCTCAGCCTCCAGAACTGAGAGAAATAAATTTCTGCTGTCTCTAAGCTACCCAGTCTGAGACATTTAGTTACCTAGATGGACTGAGACACATGTTTTCCTAAGAAGGTAGCTCAGGATAGGTTTAATTAGGAATTGCAAGGCCAAGAGGTTGGGAAAATTTTATCAGCTATGGCTTAAAGAAACAATGTCATAGGAGACTGATAATTCCTTTCAGGATAATATTTCCAATTCCTTTCTCCTGTTCCTGACAGTTGTTCTTTATTTGTTTTCAAACAAATTCTCCCCGTCAGCCTGCAGAGGGAAGTGTGTCTGGTCACCGGGAGGTTGTCTGCTTTCCTTTCCTCCTGGAGGGTTGAAAGCTGGGAACTCGCTCTGATACGATCAAGTTTCAGGTTTTTCTGGACTCAGTATTAGGTTGAAAAAAATTGAGTTTTGATAGGAAAAAAAAATCTCTCTGATTTTCTCTTCTTTGGTGCTAGAGAAAGAAAATGTGTCCACAAACTGGGACTTTGGTGAGCGTGAATTGTGCAATTTTGAGGAAACTTGATCTAGTGTCTTCTATTTTGTGTTGCACTTGATTAAGGATAGTCCCACCCTGAGAAGGAGTCTCTTTTCCTCATGACTTAGGTCCTCTTCATAATCCCTATTTGAAAGCCTCTTCCTTTTCATTATGTGATCATAATTATTTCTCTGCCGAGTGCATAACCTAACACCTCTCCAAGCACAGTGCCAAGATTTGAAGCCATAATAAGCGGAATGCTCACCTTCGAAGCCATTATTTCAATCATTAGAACACAGTTTATTCCTCGAGAGGACATTAACATTTGAAAATGTGTCAACCAGAGTAAGAAATTCATCACGATCACAGACCACCTGCCAACTGATTAAAATGCAACGTTCTGATTTTCCTGGGTTTTTAGAGGAATCTAACATTCGACATCAGATTACATTTTTAAGTTGTCTTAGTTGAATTCCTGGTAAATTGCTTGTGAAGGCCAGAGAAGCTTAGATTTTAAATAAGAAATGTGGAAAAACAATGCAGCCAGGAGAGGGCTAGGGGGTCACTGACAGCATCAGTGTGGGCAGCAGAGACCAGCACACGCTGGGACCCCCAGCACCGGTGCCATGCCCGTCCTTCCAGGACTGAATGCTGGCAACAGTCTCTGCATTTGGGCACCTATAATTCTGAGCAGAAATGGGTCTGATTGCTGTGCAGAATTTCTTAGAAGATTTTAATGAGATCATCTCTGCAGTTCAGTTGGTAAAGAGTAAAGACAAGTGTTCCACTTCTGTCTAGCAAAATGCCACATTTCATCATTAATGCCATTGAAACCATTGTGTGCTGAAAAAACCCAGTGCACACACAAAAGTATGGATTGCAAAAGTAAAATATAAATTCCCCAGAAAGCTGGAATGTGGGGGTTAATATTATGTCAACCCAGAGATTTTCTGGATGGTGTTCGTTGTCAAGGTAACACTACTTCTTTCCAAAGCTCAGATAGGGAACCAGCAAAGTAAGATGGTGCAATTAGAGTGACCTTAACCAGTCACCTTTTAGCTTCTGGAATGTATTTGAAATCAGTAGTGTTTTTGGTCAGGTATTTCATAGCTCCTTGCCAGTGGATCCAGTGTCTTCCAGTTATCTAATGCTGTTTAACAAAACACGCGAATCCTAGTGGCTTAACACAACAACATTTATTTTGCTTATGAATGTGCAAATCAGGCAGGACTCAGAGCTGAAGCTGGGACATCAGTTGGGGCATCTTGAAGGCTGGGGTTAGAATCATCTGAAGGCTCATTCACTCATATATCTTGGGATTAATGCTGGGAAGACCAAAAGAGCTGAGGCTAGCACAACTGGGGTTTCTTGGGCATCTTTCTTTCTTAATTGACATAAAAATAGTATATATTTACCATGCAAAACATGTTTGAAATTGTGGAATGGCTAAATTGAGCTAATTAACATATGCATTGCCTCATATACTTATCATTTTTTGTGGCGAGAACCCTTAAAATCTACTCTCTTAGCAATTTTCAAAAAGATAATACATTATTATTAACTATAGTGACCATGTTGTACAGTAGATCTCTTGAATTTAATTCTCTTATCTAACTACAATTTTGTATCCTTTGATCACATCTTCCCAAGTCCCCTCCTGCCCCCAGCCCTAGGTAACCACCATTCTACTCTCTGCTTCTATGAGTTCAACTTTTTTAGATTCCACATACAAGTAAGATCATGCAGTATTTGTCTTTCTGCGCCTGGCTTATTTCTTCCAGGTTCATCTGTGTTGTTGTGAATGACAGGATTTCCTTCTTTTTTTAAGGCTGAATAGTATTCCATTGTGTATATATACCACATTTTCTTTAACCATTCATCTGTTGATGGACAGTTAAGTTGCTTCCATATCTTTGCTATTGTGAATAGTGCTGCGATGAACATGGGAATGTAGATGTTTCTTTGAAATACTAATTTCATTTCCTTTGGCTATATACCCAATAGTGGGATTGCTGGATCATGTGGTAGTTCTATTTTTAATTTTTTCAGTAACCTCCATAATGTTTTCTATAATGACTGTACTAATTTACATTCTCACCAAAAGTGTCCAAGGGTTTCCTTTTCTCCACATACTCTCCAACACATTATCTTTTGTCTTTTTGATGATAGTCATTCTAGCAGGTATAAGGTCATAGTTCACTGTGGTTTTAAGTTGCATTTCCCTGATGATTAATGATATTGAACATTTTTTCATATAACTGTTGGCCATTCCTATATCTTCTTTTGAGAAATATCTATTCAGGTTCTTTGCCTATTTTAAAATTGGGTTGTTTTCTTGCTATTGAGTTGGGTTCCTAATATACTTCCTATATTAACTTATCACATGCATGATTTGCAAATATTTTCTCCCATCTGTAGGTTGTCTCTTCACTCTGTTAATTGTTTCTTTTGCTGTGTAAAAGCTTGTTAGTTTGATGTAATCCCATTTTTCTGGTTTTGTTTTTATTGCCTGTGCTTTTGGGATCCTATCAAAAAAGTCTTTTTCCAGATCAATGTCATGGAGATTTTCTCCTATGTTTTCTCTAGGAATTTTACATTTTAAGATCTTATGTTTAAGTCTTTAATTTGTTTTGATTTAATTTTTGTATGTGGTGTGATATAAGGATCTACTTTCCATTTTTCTGCACATGGATATCCAGTTTTCCTCAAAACTATTTATTTTTTCTTCTTTAACTATTTAAAAAAAGGGACCTAAAAATATTTATTGAAGAGACTGGGAGGACAAGGTGGGAGGATTGCTTGAGGGTGTTGGAGGGGTTGGAGACCAGTTTGAGCAAGAGCAAGACCCCACCTCTGCAAAATATAGAAAAAAATCTAGCGTGGTTGCATGTACCTGTAGTCCCATATACTGGGGAGGCTGAGACAGGAGGATCACTCAATCCCAGGAGTTTGAGGTTACAGTGAGCTATGATGACACCACTGCACTCTAGCCTGGGCAACAGAGTAGATCCTGTCTCAAAAAACAAACCACAAAAAACTCCAACTAGTAACACAATTGTATTTGTGTTAAGGGTTTTTAAAATATAAGTATGGCGTGTTAAGATTATAGATCAGTGTAACTTGATCTTGTGTATGGTGTATTGTGGAAGTAAGGTTAGAAAAAGTATCTCTGAGTACAATATCTTGATGCTCAGAGCTCAGGATGAGCTGGAATAAGCTAAAGGGGGAGGAGACTTTTAGACAGAAGGAACAATAATGAGAGTACCTTATTGAAGACATATAGGCAGTGCCAAAGGAATGGCACAATATTTGTGTTTGAAAACTCCCCCTGTGCTGTTTCAGTGGTCTGTGTGGCTGCAGATGCCATAGAGACCTCAGCGGGGTTGGTGTGGGGTGGTGGTGGTGGGGTTGTGAAGGGCATGGCCCCGAGAGGCACCGAGCGGGAGCACCCATAGGACTGGCCAATTTAGGGAATGTGTGTGATGATGGCGAGGAAGGTGTCATTGTTTGTGTGATTCCTGTCTGCCATGTTTTGTTATTTTATCTGGAAATACTCCTTCCAAAATGCAAATGGTTAGGGATGGCAGGTGGGTGGGTTCATTCAGGGTTGGAGCTTTGCCAGCCAGGTGGAGTGGAATGAGGGTAGCAAGACGCTGTGTGGAGTCAGCAGGGAGTAATTGCAATGATAGACTACAAACTCCAGGATGAGCTAAGGAAGAAATGACAGCAGAAGTAACTGACAGAAAATGGAGAGGTCACAGATTGCCTAATTTTCCCTAGAGAAAAGCTTCTTGTGGAGATATTTGAGCTAGTGACACGAAGGGTTTGGGATGTTTGAATTAATAATGTTGCCACAGAGTTTAGGATGTGCTTGAGGGAAATGGGGAGAAGAGGAAGTGACTGGAGATGATATCAAGACCCGGGGACACTGTCTAAGGCTGTGCAGGGTGTGCCATGCAAAACTCCAGGGGGCGTTATCACATAGATGACAATGTTCGCTATGCTCTTGGAGATCGGTAGATGAGAGCAATGAAGAGGAGACAGGACCAGG